TCTTAAAATCTGCAGAAACCCTGGTTATTGATGTCATTTATTCATGCATTTGTAAATCAAAGTCTTCAGTTTGTCTGAAGCAGCACAAAATAAAAACTGATAATCATGTCGTTCTAGGTTATTGTAAGGGCTTAGACTGCATGTTAGCACAAGAATTCCTTGTAGTAATTTATCAGCAAACTTATAGATTCTGTTTCAAATAGACGTATGACTAAACCCTCATTTGGAGATCAAGTATGATTGTATCATTTAGCCTGAGCCCGTAGAATCTAAAAACCCGACTGTAAATTTGAATTGGTTTAATCGGCCCTTGAAAATAAAAGCGTTTTAAAATGACCAGGCTTATTTGTTGTGCTAATGTCTTCTTTATTTAGTTCTAGTCTGTCTGCACACAAAGAATGACACCAAAGCAGAACATTAACTATATCTTTAAGCAGAGGGGGATTTAGACAAATGGCTGTTTACATGCACCGATTTAAATCAGTCTGTTTCTGAATAAACGGAATCTGATCATAGATGTTTACATGTGCTTTAAGCTGGTGTTTCTAAACCACGTTCCTGGAGGACCTCAAACACTGCATGTTTTGGATGTCTCATTTGTCTGTCACAGCCATTACAGCTCTTTCCGTCTCTGCTAATGAGCTGATGATCTGAATCAGGTGCTGGTTGAGAAGACATGGTAAATGTGCAGAGCTGGTGCTCCTCCAGGAACATGGTTGAGTAACACTGATTTAAACAATGTAATCGGATTCCCGAAAGCTTAAGAATTTAGGAAACTTTACGTTTAATGTGTTTGTATTGAATCGTTCGTATCCTTTGTGTATTTAAAGCAGGTAAGTGTCTGAAAATTGAAATGCTAGTTTAAAGTTTGAATATTTTCTCCATTCTTTTTGGTGTTTTTTCTCCTCCGCTAACTAATTTCATTTCTACTGGATTTAACCCCTGTGCACTGTTCAAATTTACTGCCCTTTTGTCATGTTCAGGATGAAAACATCCACTGAATTTTTAACTTTTTTTTTTAGCATAAATCTGCTAATCAGCCTCAGTCCTGATCAAAACTACTACATTGTTTAGAAAATTATAGGATTTAAACTCTTGAATTGGCAAATTCACAAATGTTGTCACTGACCTAGTGAAAAACACACACAAATTGACGTATTTTTAGTATAAAAAGTAATTCTGGACTGGATTTATTCCCTTTTATCACAGTCTTGGGCATGTGAACTATTAGTAACAACATTGGCTTTGATGCATCGTCAGATTTTCACTTTTTTCTTCCTAATTTACTGTTGGTGGCTGTTTTTGCCCCATTGACTTCCATTATACCAAATTTGATTGTGCATAAACACACAGTCTTTGTTTTTGTTTACTCTGTGCTGTTTTTAGAGCTGAGATGCATATTTAGATTTTCTCAGACACATCAAGATAAGTGCACTAAGGTCACTCTTACGCACACTTTAATTTGCTTTAATACTCCATATAAAATCCAGAAACTAAGCTTATTTTTTTTGCACAGGCCTATCTAAAGGGTTAATGGTGCCAACTGATGATCAACAGTAAGAATTACAAATTTGACCTCTTCCCAACAGGGGAAACCACCAACAATTAAAAATGCATGATTATATGGTGTCATGGCTTTGCAATCAAAGTTAATGTGGTTAAAATGGAAGTCAATGGGGCAAAAAAAAAGCCACCAACAGTAAAACTAGTGAGAAAAAAATTAAAATTACTCAAAAACAATGCAAAGACAATGTTGTTTCACATGTCCAAGACCAAAAGTTTTTAAAAATCCAGTCTGTTTTTTCACTAAGTGACATCATTTGTGAATTTGTCAATTAAAGAGCTAAAATCATGTAATTTTCAAATCAATTCAGTAGTTTTGATCAGGACTGAGGTTGCTTAACAGATTTATGCAAAATAAATAATTAAATTATATATATATATATATATATATATATATATATATATATATATATCTGATGCATTTTTACAGCAATTTAATTCAGTGGATGTTTTCATCCCTAATATAACAAAAGGGTAGTCAATTTGCCCAGAGTGTATTGTTGAGTTATTTATTTATTTTTATGTTTTTGGAAAAAAGTTCAAAGCATTTTCTCCAAATATGTGTCAAGATAAGATTTGTTTATGACCAAATTAAGACTCAAAATCACCCCCAGAGTAAATGAAAACGTCCCCAACAGCACACAGGGGTTAAGTATGTTCTTTATAGTCATTTTAAGATTATATTTAGGTTACGTTGCATTTCTAAAAGAAAGCAGTCTAATGACAATATACAGCCAATGGTATTACATCAAAATATGGTCGCCTTGGAATTATAAGGTTCTCTCTGCATCCTAAATGATTTTGAGATGTTGAGCTTCAAAGTTTTTGCATTCCATACAGCAAACAATGCGTGCGTAACAGCTCTCTTTCACACATCATCATGACAGAGGCCCTAAATGTAATTGATCAACATTCCCATAAATTTGCAAATGCAGACAGAACCTTTTAATTCTAATAAGTCATTTTCCGCTTGGAATTGAAAGGTTCTATCTGGCAGATCATTAATTAAAGCATTACTTAACAAGAAAGTTGTGTTTAAGAAAGTTACATGTTTTGCTTTCGATAACATTTATTTAATGCTTTAGGATATTTTTTCTTGTTCAAATTAAGTATATAAGGCTGTGCTAAATACTTTGTCCAGTGCAGATGTTAATTTTATGTAATAAATATGGTAATATTTGTTGTAATTAAGACCCCATGAATTCAATTAATTATTTGTCTTTTAATGTTTAATATAAAAATTAGTTATTTAACAGTTTAAACCTGAAAAATGTTGTAATATATATATATATATATATATATATATATATATATATATATATATATATATATATATATATATATATATATATATATATATACATATACACACACACACAAAAAAAAATATTTCACATTTAATATTATACATTTTTACCAATGGAGAAGTCCAGTGGAATGACAAAGAAAGCTGATCCTGATCCTCCTGCGTGCATTCGAAATGCTGAGGGCTCACAGAAAGAAACTTATAGAGCCAATAGAGTTTGATTTTGTGGATAAAACCTTTGTTTTTTTAATAAAAAGTCTTAAAATGTAAACAACTTATAAAAAAACACATCACAATGAAAATAAGTAGTCATTTAATAAGAATATGGGAATAACTCAATTTTGAGAAAAATGTCAGATAGAACTTTATAATTCTAAGGTGACGATATGTCTTCCAGATACTTTTAAACATGACTGAGTAACACTCAAGCATGTAACATTGTCATTTTATGCTGTTGAATTGGATTAGAAAAGAAACTAACCTCCACCCACTCCAATCTGATCAAAATCTAGGACCAATTAAAGTGTTTACGTGAACGTTTTTGAATGGGTTTTTTAGTTTATTGCCATGTTGGCCTCTCTGGATGTCAAATTTTAACAATAAAAAGTCATCAACATCAGTAAATAACATAATATATAATAAATAAATAATAATAATATACAAGATAAAAATAAATAACAGTTTATGGTTTACTTTAGATAAAAAAGTAAAATTTTGGAAGAATTCATATTAAAAAATATTTCATTTAAAGTCTCTCCAGATAAAAACCGTTGCCTAACATCAACATAGGACAATACACGTCCCAAATAACGTTTTTGACTCTTAATCAAACCGTCAATCTGATATTGATTATTATACTCAACCCAGCAAAATATGCTCAATAGCAAAATAACAAACCAAACCTGCTGAATCAGGGTATCTGCCGTCCAGTCCTTATCCGTTTTCAAACCAAAAAAGGAAAACTAAGAAAACGGCTGGTTTTGTTTTTTCTTTTGCTTACAAAAAACTGAAGGAAAAAAAAAACTTATAAACAAAATAAATTTAATAAAAAATTTGCCTGGATTTTTGGTTTAGGGTAGAAAAATGGAGAAATTACTTTAAAATTCACTATAAGCATGTGCGCAGCCCTTATTCCTCTGATTGGTCAACCAAATCAGAGCTTGTGACATCGCCCTCAAAATAACAGTCCTCTGCAGATTAGTACCCAGGATTTTAAATTATTATTTTATATATATATATATATATATATATATATATATATATATATATATATATATATATATATATATATATATACACACACATATATAAACTAAGTTTACATACTTTATCGTTTAATAAGTTAGCAGGTTTACATTCATTTCACATGCATAAATTGTATAAAAACGTAAATTAGCAATACTATTACATATTTGTGATTAAAATAAGGTCATTTGCTGCCAAACGTCTTGCTGATGCTAAGCAAAGAGATATCTCTGAGCCGAACCTGGTTTGTATGATTGCTTCCGAGCAAGGCCTTTATAATAATAATAATAGTGATAATATGCCTATTTCGCCACCGAACTTCATGCTGCTGTGCACCTGAGCAAAGATAACCCATTCCGAGCAGCACCTGGTTTGCATGATTGCTTCTGAGCAACGCCTATATAATAATAATAATAATAATATAAAGTGACTAAGCTCAGACTTGGTTGACCAACCAGAGGAAGGCCGTCTCAGCGGCACCTATATGTGTATAATAAATTTTAAAGTCGTTTTTTTCATTTTCCTACCCTAAAAAAAAAAACAAAAAATTTTTTTTTTTTTTTTTTTGTGAGCAAAAAAAACGTATTTTTAATTTTCCTTTTTTGTTTGAAAATGGATATGGAATGGGCGGAAGATACCCTGATTCTGCTGCCATCCATCACTCAAAGAAATGTCTTTGGCTACTTGTTCAAACTACTTATTAATAATGAGCTAAATCAACACAATTCTTAAGGGTTTGTGCGGGATAACAATTGTTTTATTTCAGATTAACGTAAATTTGTTAAAACCATTACGTCAACTTAATTTGTGTTGGGACAACATGAGGGAAGTGTGTGCATTTTTGACAGTGATGATGGAGATTCCCAAAACAACACAGAGACCAGCGTCAACTTTTTATAAACAATTTATTTTCAAGTAGTTGTATACTTAACCAGATTTCCCCACCAGAGTACTTATTACCAGCTCAGCCAAAACCCTGTCGCTGTGATCGCGTTTACAACACAGAAATCAAATATAAAAAGAGAGAAGGAAAACAAAAAGAAACGTGCGTCTTCTAGAGAAATCCAATGATTGAGAGTATAACCAGTGATTATGTCAAGCAGAAAAGAAAAAAAAGGCAACAAAATATACAAATGCAAAACAGAGCTAAGCTAAGTGGTATCGCTATTAACACTAGCCCCTTTTGAGGATCACATGCATGGTGCAATGCTCCTTAAAAAGGTCGACCTGGAAGAAAACAAAGAGAGAGGGTTTGTTAAACAAGCGAACCGTGTTCCTCAAAAGCCACAAATACGATTATGAGGGTTTTAATCTCAAGAGCCTGTTAAATAAACTCGACGACACGTTTAAGAGCGAGACTAGAGTAATCTGCTTTAAAGATTATCGGCTGGTTATTAAAGCCATCCAGCGCACATCCAGAACAAGTCAAAGCAGAAGATGTCGCACGTACCCTGAAAGAATGAATAGGGAATAACCTGAGTCCATAGGTGGGGGCTTTATTCCAAGCCAATCAGCTCCACGTCGAATATGAGCGTTGCGTTGGGAGGAATGACGCCCGGGTGGCCCTTGCTCCCGTAAGCAAAGTCCGGAGTGCAAGTCAGCTTGGCGCGCTGTCCGACACTCATCTGTGACAAAAAGGGGGAAGAGGTTAATAAAATCAAACATAAAGTGCTCTGGGGTAGCTTAATTAATGTAGCGGTGCTCTTTGGGTGAGGGATTCATCAAAATAAATGACAAAAGGAACTCGAAAAAAGCCTTTATTGACGTGGATATTCCTTAAAACTGTGCCTACGCGTTTCAGCAAACACTTGCCTTCATCAGCCATGCTAAAAAATCCAGCTTAAACCAGCCTAAGCTGGTTGGCTGGTTTTAGCTGGTCGACCAGGCTGGTTTTAGAGGGGTTTTGGCCACTTCCAGGCTGGTTTCCAGCCATTTCCAGCCTGGTCTTAGCTGGTCAGGCTGGGAGATGACCAGCTAAAACCAGCTTGACCAGCCTAGCCAAGCTGGGAGTCCAGCCAAAACCAGCTATATCCAGCTTAAACCAGGCTGGTCAAGCTGGTTTTAGCTGGATTTGGCTGGTCATTTTCCAGCCTGACCAGCTAAGACCAGGCTGGAAATGGCTGGAAACCAGCCTGGAAGTGGCCAAAACCCCTCTAAAACCAGCCTGGTCGACCAGCTAAAACCTGCTAACCAGCCTAGGCTGGTTTAAGCTGGATTTTTCAGCAGGGAGGGTAACTGAAGAGGTCATTTCGTAGAATTAAATCCACTATAAAACATAAGACCTACTTTATGAACAGGCGGCATTATGCAACTGCTCAATATAGGACAAGTCGGCTTAAAAGGGGACATCAGACATCATTATATGCACGCGTTTGAATACAGTACCTGGGCTACTCCCTCATCCCAGCCGCGGATCACTTCCTGTTTGCCGATTTTAAACTTGAAAGGCTTTCCCCGATCCCGGGAAGAGTCGAATTTGCGTCCATCTGTCAAAGAGCCTGGGGGAAAAAAATGGGATTTTTTTGTTAAAAAATATACATACATAAACGAGGCTGCGTCAAACTGACATACGCGCATGCGCGGTTTTCACAACCAAGCAAAGAAAATGAACGTTCAACACACGAAGCGTGATTCATTCGGAGTTTTTTAAGTCAAATATTTCTTCAAACCACACTTATTCGGATTTATATTATATTCATTTAATGTATATATTAAAACACATATTTATGGTGAAATTAATCAAACTAAGGCGTTTTAAATCAAACATTCACAGAGGATACGAATGCTGTATTTTTAGCATCACAATCGGAGCATCTTTTGAAAACACACACATTTATAAATACATGTTAAGGCGTGTCTTGTTTTAATAAATCTCTAAAAAGAATGATTATTATTAAATGATTATTTTATTCTATTTTTAAACACAACCCAATTTATCCTAAATAACGGCAATAAAGTCACTATGTACCGAAAAAACAGGCCACGATTTCCAAATCCGTTGCTCTTAGATGTAAATACAATGTATGAGAAGAATTAAACACCAAACATGTAGTTAATAGTAATGCGAGTTCAAATATTAAAGATTAAAAACCTCTGTGAGCCGACTGTGTCTATTGTGTCAATGCGGCTAAAGTGCTAATGCTGGCTAACACCCTTCAGGCGATTCATCAACACGATCACTTCTCAACTTACCCACATAATGCACGACGCAAGTCTGTCCTTTTTTAGGGAAGGTACTTCCTAAAAAATAAAACAAAACAAGAAGAGAAAGGATTAGAGGCGCTCGTCAAATCCTGTCGAAAGAGGTTAGTGTTTAGCTAGCAGGCTAACGCCCCATGATGCCCAAAACAGGCTGAATGTATCGATTTTAAAAATGCGGCACATTTTGACACATATCAGCGCTGCGGCTTCTTAAATGTAGATGTGATTCAATATGCGATGTATTTTACCGTCTCCAGGAGTAATGGTTTCAACCTCGACTCCCATCCTGGCTGCTTGTTTTGACTCCTGAAGCTTCTGCACGGAAAATGCGCTTCAGTAAATCAGTAATTGTGATTGAGGAGGGCAGAAACCCCTGCCTGCCTGCGCCACTCTCGAGCATCCAGCACCCCTAGCGGACACACGACGAACTGCACCCTCGTTCTCTTCATCAAACAACCGTAACTTGTTACAACATTCATTAAGGTAAAGTTCGTTTTATATCCACATATTCTGACGTTCTCCTTAATATGATAATTTCAGAAAGGTATTCTTTGCAAATTCTAAACCATATTAGCAGCCAATGACTATCAAAGTACAACATTCATTTAAACAAACAGCGCTAATGTTGTTTTGAAGTCATACTCCCTGCTGAAAAATCCAGCTTAAACCAACCTAGGCTGGATGGCTGGTTTTAGCTGGTTGACCTGCCTGGTTTTAGAGGGGTCTTGGCCATTTTCAAGCTGGTTTCCAGCCATTTCCAGCCTGGTCTTAGCTGGTCAGATTGGAAAATGACCAGCTAAATCCAGCTAAAACCAGCTTGACCAGCCTGGTTTAAGCTGGCCATAGCTGGCTTTGGCCGGGCTCCCGGCCTGGCTAGGCTGGTCAAGCTGGTTTTAGCTGGTCATCTCTCAACCTGACCAGCTAAGACCAGGCTGGGATTGGCTGGAAAGCAGCCTGGAAATGGCCAAAACCCCCTCTAAAACCAGCCTGGTAGGACTGTGGAGGAAACCGGAGTGCCCGGAGCAAACCCACGTCAATACGGAACGTTAAGACAAATCTGACCAATTTTATTTTGTTTCATATTACAGCATGATTGTAAACTCCAGCTTTGAACATCTACACCCATGTAACCCTTGACCTCTCATCTGGAACATCTGGATACTTCAGCGCATGTTCAAGTGTGACGTGAGTTTCTCTCAACATCGATTCATGACTTGAATTATGTTGTTGTGATGGTGTTGGGCAAGCTGTAGATTTAAGAAATGAGTTTGCTGACTTGGAACTTCCTGCTTGACTTGATTTGTTTGCATTATGAGGAGAGAGTTTTCTAGTTTTTGACTGGAAATTTTGACTGGAGTTGTAGACTTGAGGAAATGTGTCCTCTTCTAAAGTGGGAATCGTGACGCAGTTCAACCTGGAAAAGCCAAAACAAATTAATGAATAAATACAGTTAAAGCTAGGAATATCAGCCTTGCTGTGAATTTTTTCAAATATTTCCCAAGTTAATATTTTTTATATACATTTTATTCATTAATTTTCATTCGGTTTAGTCCCCTATTTATTAAGTTTTAAAATTAGTTTGTAAATTATTTTAAAAACCAAATCTAGCGCAATTTACCTCAAGCGTCTGAGATGTTGCTGAATCTGCTTCTGACGCGCTTCATTGATTGGGTACAGATAGAAAAACACCAAACCCACCAGCAAAAAGGTGACTGGTACCGGGGCCAAAAGCAGCTTCAGTGCCAGGACGACTTCATCTGGTTGACTGCATGCCCCTGCTTTATATCCTGTGAAGCTTCAACAAAACACAGTTTGTGTAAACATGTCAACATTAACGTTTCAGACTTCCATAAAAAGTTCCCTCGTGAACAAGAGCTTGGTATTGTTTTGCTCAGACATTCTCGCATGACAGTGTTTAAAAACTTGCAGGACACACAGCGAGAGGAGTTACAGAGGAGGAAACAAGTATTGAAGATGTCGTCATTTTTCTCACAAAAACATGTTTGTAATGGTGCTGTTGACTTGAAATTGTCATTGGATGCTGGTAACAATCCATAAATGCAAAGAAATCAAAACGAATTAGTTTACAAATGAAGTGATGTGTAATAAAATGAAATAACACAGGGGAAAAGTATTGAACACATGAAGAAAGGGAGGTGTAAAAAGGCAGCGAAAGCCCAGACAGCAACTGAAATCTCTCAGTAGTTCTTCAGCAATCCTCTGCCCTTCATCAGTGTAAATGAATATCAGCTGAGTCAGTCCAACATCTACATTAGCAGGAGGATGAAGATGAATCCAGGGTGGACATATTTCAGCAAGACCATAATCCAAAACACAGAAAAGGGAACTCTCGAATGCTTTCAGAGAAAGAAAATCAACCTGTAGAATGGCCCAGCCAGTCACCTGACTCGAATCCAATAGAAAATACAAAATAAAGCTCATATTTGATAAACGAGACCTACACTCTGTTGAATGTGGAAAACTCACACCTGAGCAGTGCATGTGACTTCATTCTCCATATGAAAGGCGTCTTTAACTGCCATCACCAATAAAGCCTTTATATAAAGTATTAACTATGTTTCAGTAGTTCAGCACTTTCTCCTTGTGTCATTCCATTGTAATTACACACAACTCATTTTTTAGATTTGTTTTGTTTGATTTTAATGTTTGTATTGTTTGGGTTTTTACCAAAATCTGGTTCATCCATGTCACAGCTCCTTTAGAAATATTATTCCCAGGAAAAAAAACATGACCATGTGGAATGTTTGCCAGACTGCCACTGTATATCAGTGGGAGTGCCTGCCGACTCACTGCAGTGCCAAGGTGGAGATGCCAGCACACAGGCCTCCTCCCAGTTTATTGAAAAACCTCCAGCAGGAAAAAAACAGGGGCTCCAGGCCCTCACAGGAGGGATTCAGTACAGCAAACTCATCCACTACATCTGGCAGCATTGACCTGAACAAACAAATTAGTTGAATTCAAAATGATTAACCGGTCTGTCAATCTTTTTCAAATATTTCCCAAATAATGTTTAACAGAGCAAGGATTTTTTCACAGTGTTTCCTATAATATTTTTTCTTCTGGAGAAAGCCTTAATTGTTTTATTTCAGCTAGAATAAAAGCAGCTTTATTGTTTTTTAAGTTATTTTAAGATCAATATTATAAGCCCCCTTAAGCAATATATATATTTTTAACAAACCATTGTTATACAATAACTTGCCTAATTACTCTAATTTGCCTAATTAACCTAGTTAAGCCTTTAAATGTCACTTTAACCATTACTGGGTCCGTGGCGTCATTTTTTCCACATTCTTTTAATTTTAAAGGTCTGTACTGGCCCAAACCCCTACTAGTGGTTCCATTTTTCTCATCAGTTGGAATAGAATAACTTTGGCATGGATTATGATCGAGATATTTTTATTTATGATTACTGACATGTGCAGGAACCACCAAAATTAATTACCGCAACCTAGACCACTCAGAACCTAAAAGGTACACTTTTAAATTTGAGTTTACAAAAAAAGGGCCTCTATTTTGGAGGAGTTTATTATAACACAGACAACATATACAGTTATTTGAATCACTTTCAACAGTGTTTTATGAAAATTCAAAGGGTATTCTTTAAAAATAAGACCAAACTTTCGCATTTACACCTTTGCATGTGGATTTGGGAAGCTTTTAAATTTGCGTAGTCAAAATCCAGGTCGAAACTTGAAAAATATCAAGTCAAATATTATTTATTGTCATCATGGCAAAGATAAAAGAAATCAGTTATTAGAAATAAGTTATTAAAACTATTATGTTTAGAAAAGTGTTGAAAAATATCTTCTTTGTGTTAAACAGAAATAGGGAATAATAATATACAAGGGGCTAATAATTCTTCAATTGATTTCAACTGTATATATTTTATATATATAAAAAAACTCTAGATCCCAAATAAATAGGTTAATTATATTACTCCTTATTTTTATTGACTTATTAAGAGTCTAACAAGTGAACAGATTTTTCTGATGACCTTAGTCCTATTAAATAATCGCAGTAAACACAAATCAAATGAAAACGTGTGAAGTGTTTACATTTTGCTGCAAAAAGTCCTGCATGATAATAGTTTGATTAAGATGTCTGTACTGCACTTTAATAATCGACTAAAACAGGAATACTACACATCTTAATTCGATTTACATTTACTATGATCATGACTTTAGTCGGAATAACGTAATCAAAAAATCGCTGTTTACATGGTAGAATCTTAATCAGAGTCAAAATCAAAATAACGTTTTTTAGATATTAGTAATCCGTGTTTTAGTCCTCCATGAAATCTGTAAGCAAAACAAAGACAAAATTCCAGTATAAACATGTAAAGCTTGTAGTTTGTCGCTTCTGCCTAGATGGATTAACGTTTTTTTTTTCACGTCACCTTTTACTTTAGTTTCTCATTAAATCTTGACCAATCAAATGCTCTCTAGTATCTCACATGCCCCGCCCCCTTCAAGATGCTTTTCCTTTGGTGTACATTTGATGTACTTGAGCTCAACCACTCTGACTGACAGAGCTGATAAAACAAAACGCTATTGGCTTTTTTTTATAAAGGGGAGGAGCTACTCTGTCCCACCCTCTCTTCGTTTTTCAGTAGAGATAATGTCAAACATTAAATAAAAAAATGCACATCTCAAAGCACTTCACGGGACCTTAAATGGTGTTAAAATCGGAGTATCTGTGTCCATACTGAATAAGTTATTAAATTATTTCACTTTCTAATTTAACACAATGTGTCTTTCAAATACAGTTATAAGCACACGATATATAAAATCAGATTGACTAATATGTGCTAAGCTCTTGACGGTGGAGAGCAAGCGCTGGCCTTTAGCAGAAATGAACAGCATGAAGTGGACAGATCCAGGTCTTACTGTAACTCACCATGGTAACAAGAAGAGCGAAGCCAAACTAGATCCAATCACAACACACATGAGCAGGTAGACTGGAAAGTTGTCTGATGTGGAAACTAGGACCACCAGAGCCGGTATGAGGAGCTGTGGAGAACCGCAAATGACATATTTCTGTACTCCTACAAAACTGATATTTTATCTGGCACATTAAAACATGTTTAAATGGTCACATGAAATAAAATAGTGTAATTTTTTTAGATATTTATATGCTAGTGCGCTCCAAATTAGCATTTTGAAGATATAAAACCAATATAAACATCCAAAGCTTGTAGTTTGTCACTTCCGCCTAAATCAACACAGGCTCATTTTGAAAACGTAGCCCTTTATACATTTCTGGAGATGGTGAATTATGTAGCCAGAAGTACATAAAGCTGCATTTCGGCTTTAGAATGAACAGTACGGGGCGCTATGACACCGCTATTTTATTCGCACTTACCAGCTGATCGCTTATCTCCATTTGGCTGGCTTTCCT